TAAATTTTTAAATAATAAATTAATTCAAATAATGAAAAGCATCATATAAAAATATGGTTTCTCGCAATGCTTTCTTGTCATTATATTTCTAAGAAAAATAGAGTATACAGAAGAACAGAGATGGCTTCCATTGTAATTTTATTAAAAAAATATAAGATATTTTTAACTAAATCACACCCTCGATAAAATAATTACTTACTTTCAAATTAACCCTAACTTTTATATTTATCTTTATTAAATGCTTTACAATAAATATAAAATCATTATCAATGGATATACTTAAAAAAAAAGTAATGATTACATATCAAAAAATTAAATTTTTTTATATTTTTTAATATCTAACTCTTCAAAAAATATCTTATATTTTTTAACAGAATGAGTACATGTTTGTTAAAAAAAAGGTTATATATTTTGTGGCAATAAGCTTATAAAAATTTTATATAATTTTTTGTTAGTTTTATATAATTATCTAATACTCAATACTATTTAATCGAGTATTTTCGAGTCGACCTAAGCTGATAATTTATTATTATAATTGAAAGAATAGGACGCTAACAAAATTATCCAAATTTTACCTCTATCTCCATTATTATTATTATTATTTTTTATAAAATATCCTTCACAAATTTATATAAAATAGTCCTTCTCTTTTACTCGAAAGAATGATACATCTTGAAAGAATGTGAAGGTTAGGACAGTTCATGATAGATTAAAATATATAAAATATTTTTAATTTTTTAAGGTATAATAATTTTTTAAAATATTTTTATTAAAATTTATTTTATATTTATTTGAAGGTGAAATATCTTATTAAATAAAAATAAATATTAAAATATATAATTAATTTAAAAATAATAATTATTTTTATTAAAAATGAAATTTAATTAAAAATATTTATAATTTAAAAGGAGGGAGTAATTAAATGTGAATAAGAAAAGGAGGATTGATGAGAGATGGGGCGAAGACTAGTAGTAGTGAGAGGAAAATAAAGAAGAATTAGGGGGGGGGGGCAGAGGTGGATGACTGATGGGGAATCAGATTCACGTGTGATGGGGAGATGCTGGTCATAAAGGGACAAAATGGAGCTGATGTGGGGCTCCGGGCCCACACTTGGCCCAAAAGATCCCATTCCCCTCTCATTTAATGCCCTCCCTTGGTACCCTACCCCTCTAGGGTCCCCCTCTCCCCCTCGCCTTCTTGCGACTTTGTCCATCATTTTCCATTCACTCACCGCTGCTACTATTTTTAATTTTTAAGACATTAATAATTATTTTCATTTCTTACAAATTTTTTACATTTTTAATTATACCATTATTAAATATTTTAGGTAAGTTTCTTAAAAATTATAATTAAAATTTCAATACATCATTATTTTAAAAAATAAATAAAGTAAAAATATAATTGAAAATTAATTATAATAATTATCTAACATCTTATATTTTGAATTAAATACATAATACTTATAGAAACGCCTGAATATTTATTTACAAGCTATTCTCAATGTTGTCATTGAAATAAACAAATCTCATTATTTTTCATTCTCTTTATCTGGAAATCACCGATTCAACCTTTAATGGAGGAGAATATTTTATAAAATAATTTTCCCTATTTTTTATTATATATACGCGAATCAAATTTTAACAATTTAATTTTATCTATTTGTTAATTATTTAATGCAATAATAATTTTACCATATATTAAATATAATTAAATATTAAATGTCTAAATTTTACTATCCCTACCTAAATGGGTTCTAACACGAAAGCCTTTACAAAATTAAATTTATATTATATCACTTGAACTTTGATTTAAATTTATACATAATTTTTAAATTAATTCACCAGAATGTTACACCTCGTATACATAATTTTTTAAGAAAAAGCTGGAAAAGAAAAAAAAACAGACGAGATTCTAGAAATGTACTACTAGTAAATGTGAATTGAAAAAGAATGAAATCCAGGTGTGAAGCTACAAATAAATTCCAACGGAGCCGTAAAACTCACATTCAATTAATTGAAGGTCATCACATTCACACTAAGATTATACGTCATGGCACAGTCACATAAAGTTCATTGCAAATAGTATAAATAGTGTCACCCATTTACAAAGAGAAAAGAAAAGTGGTCGGAAATGATTTGCCTGATCTCTCAGTCGCCGAATTGCTTTTTTAAAATTTAGGGATACTATTCAAAGCGTGAGATCAGTACATATTCTGTGAGGATTATATTAATGAACGAACTAATTCAAATTCATATGGCATCTAATTCTAAACAAGTAAATACCAAATAAAGCTCTGCCAACAATATTTTGTTAGTTTATTTAATTTCCATTCAGCTAACATGATAATAATAATTAGGCATAATAGCCACGTAAGATTATTGATTTTGATTGTTTTCTTATTAATTTAGACCATGTTAGTTAACTACTAAATGTAAAAATTGACACATCACTTTTATTCATGAACCTATTTTCAAAAAATCTGAACGTAAGTTAATTAAATTTATTGTTGCTCGCTTAGATTATGAATTTTACGCATAAAAAATATAATAAAATAAATTTGTTAGACAGTGTTCTTTATTCGTAACTAGTTTCCCGAGCAAGCCCTTTTGTTTTGGGGGTGGATACACGATTGATTTGGAAATTCACGAAACAAATTAAAGTTGTTTAAAAGAGAAGGGACATTGATTACAAGTCAATCGCACTCTTTAAGAAACATAACGCCCTCGCTCCACACACCATCGCTTCTCACGAGAAAGAAAAGAAAAAAGAAAAAGAAAGGTCGTGCAGTTCAGATTTAACGTTATTACTGGTATGCTTTTCTCGAACCATTATAAAAATCATATTTAATTAATTTATAAATAATTTTCATTAAAATATTTAATTTAAAAAATGTTTACATATTTTTATGTATACCTTCATTAAATACCCTATATAATTAATAATCTTGATAACAGTAATTAAAATCCCAATGCAAATTTTTTAAAAAAATAATAATAAATGAAATCTAAATAAATTTATAAAAACAAATATAAAAGTTATATAGTGTCCTGTATTTTAAATCAGGCAAAATTTTTAAAAAAATGCTTTATATGGTGATTTAGAAGGAGTATTATGCCTTTTTTTTTTCCTAGTTAATGAATCCATTAATTTATTGGAAACGGGAAGATAACGTTTAATTAATTGGAAAAATCATGCGCCGTGCATGCACGAGACTAATCAGTAATTACTATCCTTTCCATGACACTGAATCCTCTCATTAATGCAGTTTATCACAGCAGATATTCAAATTAACCTCATCATAAATTACCTGAATTAACTAATGTGAAGCGATATATGGGGCGTTAAGATATGGCTAGATTTGTTCGTCGATCCACCTTAAATTACAACCCAAAAAAAAAAATATCGTGATATTTAATTAACTCATATTTTCCTCGATGACAGATAAACCAAAATTTTACTAAATGAATAAATAAATTAACAAATCTGAATTAGTCAGTAGTAATCGCGAAAACGGAGCTTTCTTGTTTTCTTTAACTTGCATTCCAAACAAAACGAAAGGTTGGTCGTCAAGAATCACGCCCATCTTCGATAAGCACCAAAATCAAATCACCTTGCGCTATTATTAGTTACGTATTAGTTTCACCAATTGATGATCAATTAATATTTACTAGATATATGTGCATTAATATCAATTTTTTATTTCACGCAGCGACCTGATCAACGATCATTGACCGGAAATTTACCAGGGCATGGATTAAGATTACACTTGAAACGCAAATGATCTCGAAGAGTGAAACCGTAAAGAATTGACCACTCACGTGCACCTCACATGCATGCAACAGCAACACAATCTCGTTTCGACTTCCACGTATATTATTATTGTTCTGTCAGAAACCAAACAGGCAAACATTACAGAGCGGTAAAAAAATGGTCCGTAAAAAGACAAAAAAAATTATTTTATTTTACCACCAAAAGAAGCATCGTCAGGAACGGGCCTGTCTTTGCCAATTTTAACCGCGTGCCGTGATATCTCAACTGCTACCTGCATCTTTTTTGTAACATACATTCACGACACCCCGTACCATTGCCTCGATTCACCCCAGCTCATTTCTTCTTGTTTTTTTTTTTTTAAGATTTATAGATTTTAGAAAATAAAATTTATACAAGCCAAGTAAAGAACGCCGTCGTTTTCGGCACTCAATATACGCTGCTCATCAACCGTACCAGTGTGCCTGACTTTTTCTGCGCTTTTGTTTGGATCTTCCAAGAAAGCTAATATTTTAATTAAATAAATTCTTGTTAATTTTTTTTAAAACTAATTGGAGATTTTTGGCCCCGGATGGGGGGCTTGAAACCACCGGTCATCGTGTCGGTTTGTGCTTTGGCTTTTGGTCTAAAGGCTAAGCTCTGAAGTCGACGACGACGCATAAATGAGGAGAGAGAAGAAAGGGATGGGGAAATGGCCGTTGCAGGCACTCTTCCGCAACAGCGACATTTGCGCGCGTCCTACGTGTCAGCTTTTCTCTCACACCTGTCCCTTTCCGCCTATACCCGTTGACTCCACGCGTACTCTCCCTCCGCGTATTCTTCACGCTCCTCCTTTCTTATCACCTTTTCGTACCTTGTTTAGGCGAGAGAGTACTACAACTAGTTGTCGGGTAGACGCCCCCGGGCCCCACCCCCCAACACCCACGCAATTTTTGCCGCCCCATGCGCCCGTACCAAATCCACCACCTTATCCATAATCATCACTCACCCATCGCCCGGAAACCATAACACAACGAAACTATCAAAATTTAACCAAAGATTAGTAAAATAAAAACCAAAGACTATATAGATGGAAGAAAAGATGGAAGAGATTTTCTTTCTATTTTTTCCTTGGCTGTTTCCAAATGGGTTTTCATTCACTGTTTGATTTGTAGGTAACAATTGGTGTAGCAAATTTCAGGACATGTTGACATGGACACTTGCATTTTTGAAGGATTTACAGACGGGACAAGTATGAAGCGTAGACCCACAAACAGTACAGAGGCAGAGGTGCCTGCACGGCAAGATCAGCACGCACGATTCCTCTTTCCCACAGTTCCTGCACAATCTTCTGCTCTTACTGCCACCACCACTTGTGCCACCCTCATCCCTATCCTTCACGCGGCGCACCCGGTTACTACCGTGCGCCAACACCCATCCATCGTTGCCTGCTTTGTTTCGATTTGGTTGTTATTCGCGTCATCGTCTTCCTCGCCGGCTCCGCCACCGGTGCTGCCGCAGCATGATTGAGCGTCGTCGAGAAGAGGTGCTGGTCCTGCGGGGGCGACGGTGGCGTCATCGTTGTCGTCCTCGTCGGCGGCGGCGCGTGTACGGTCGTCCTTGACTTGTGCTAGTACTTGCTCGAGGTTTGTGCGGAGGGCATTGGCGGTGGCTTCGTTGGTCTGTGCCAAATCCCGCCATATTTGGTTTTCAACGCACAGGGACTTGACTCGCTCTTCCAGAGCCCAGTTCAGTTTGCCCATCTTGTCTATCTCTTCCTCCTTCGCCTTCAGCCTCTTCATCATCCCAATCTCGATTGCCTCTATTATCCTCCTCGCCTGCCTCTTGCGCTTCTCCTCTAATTCCATCCTCACCTTCTCCATCTGTACCGGAAACGCATCAGAATCGTACATTGAAAAAACAAGTCCACCTGTAATATATTTTAATTATTTTCCGATTAAAAAACTCACATGCTGGGAAATGAGGCGGTCGATGTCAAGTTGCTGTTGATGAATCTGGAGAGAAATGTCTTCGCCAAGAAACGAGAAGAAGCCACAATTCTTGTGAGCCTGAGAAGAGGCCGGGTAGGAGGGAAGAGGGTAATTGATTGAATCCCTTGATCGCTTTCTTGTACAGGGACGCTATAGGTGAGACCGCTTTCGGATTTCATGGCGGTTTTCTGAGGAACGGAATCAACGATCAAAGAATTGTAAGCGGCTGCCGCCTGGAGAGGCGTATCCGTGGCAGTAGTGGTACCGGATAGTGGCAAAACGGAGGAGTAACCCATATGGGCATTGAAGGGATTAACATTTGCTTCAATGGGATTCAACATCTCCCTGGAAATTTCAAGCAAATCAACTCCAAACGGATACGAAGAAGATAAAAAGGAGGAGAGAAACTAGAAAAGACGTTACGTACCGATTGGCAGTGAGTTGAGGAGGGAAGACATGGAGATGGTGAGCTTCAACGGCCATGAAAGGAGGATGAGAATTGAGGTTTCTCTCTGCGGGTACTATTCTTGCGGTTTCGCTTCTTGTCTTGGGTTGTCTATAATTCTTCTTCTATGCGTTTTTTGGAGTGTGGTTCTTATTTAAGAGTCTGGGTTGTGGGGGGGAGAGAGAGCGCAGAGAGGAATGAACCAAATGGCATGCCACTGAGGTGGCGAAACTTGCTATATGGTGGGGTTTATTTAGGGCTGTCTCGGTAAACTAAACACTGCCTCAAATCTATTTTCTTTAAAAAATATTAAAAAAACTAACCTTTAAATAATTAAATATACTGAGCCAGAGAGATTCCCACCTTACTTTTATTTCCGTAACCCACTGGCCGCACAGATTTGATCATGCCGTAATTCCCGCTAGCTTTCAGGGGCATTTCCGTCCCAACAATCGCCCATGTCGTAACCGTACGTTACCTTTTTCGTTTTTTGTTTTTTTACCCCCTAACGTCCCAGTAAATAATAAAAATTTAGCTTTTTTTTATTTTAAAAAAATCTGCCACGGAAGTCGTAGTATCTGTAACTGTAAGCAAAGCATGGCTAGCTTGAGTCCAAGACGACACCTATTTTCTCTCACACTTTGCTGTTCTTTTTGGCGCCTCCGGTCCAAGAGCAGCGTGATGGCGGTGGATCCCACCTGGGGAAACACGTGTGTGATAGGGCTGTGGGGAACAACAGTGGTAGTACGCACGCCCAGCTAATGCAGGTGGGCACGTGCGACCTGCCAGCGTGGAGTGGGGGAGAACCTCTTGTGGGACCCGTGAGGTTGGGGGTTATTGACTGTGGGCCCGGCCCAATGTGCCCCTTGTCCTTTTGATTCGCAAGTCTTTCTTGCTTTTGAGGAACAGGTTGAGTCATGCTCGTGGCGTGAGGAAACGTTGCTTGTGCCATTAACCCAAAAAACAAAAAAAGGTAAAGAAAAAAAAGAGGGAGGGAAAGAGACGTTGCTTGCGGCTCCAACTGTTCCCTGCCACGTGTCAGTCACTTCTCCTAATCGGACGAGTTGTTTGCTGGTCGACACCCCTTACCCTGCGGCACGCCCTTAAGAAGATCTCAGCCGTCAGATCGTAACTAGATATTTTATTTAATATCCTTTTACTGCAAGATTATTAATTTATAAATTAATGATTAATGAAATAAGTTATTTGTTTCTTTTCAAGTAGGTTTAGGATCATGAAACTTCCATTCTTCAACAACTCTCGTCTCAATCGGCAGCAAATTGAACTGTTCTACCTGAATCATTCAAAATATCACACTCTTATAATTTTCTAATTTACTTTTTATCCTTTTAAAAAAAATTCACATGACACTTGTGACCACGTCTCATCAACGTCAAATAAAATATTAAAAGTTAAGGGTGTTTATATAGTTTAATTTTGATAATTGAGAAATATGTACTGTTTTCTATTTGCCCTGTTATAATTATATTATGTGTTTTATCATAAACTAAAATTCTTAAATGCCTTAATTCATAATAGTTTTCAATGGGGCGAAAGTCCAACCTTGCACATATAATTAGGGAGCGTACAGAGGAGGTGCATGGAATATGTGCGCAAAATGTGAGATAATTCAAAGGATGGATGGCTTGTCTGTAAAACAGAGAAGTGGACGACTTAATAATTAAAAGACACGTTTTTATTATAAAAAAGGTCATACTCATATCTTACGGACTTACACATTTTTAGGCCAAGTGAATTGATTCTAGTTCATTTCGATTGTTTGGTAAACATAGTTCAAAATCTTACCCTATATGACAAACCAAATTCAAACAAACTTGTTACATGTGAAATAGAAACCGGTAAACAGTAATTACCCTTAAAGTGTGTCAAAGTATAATTTGAATAATTTAAAATACAACATTGCAGTAATATTAATAGTAATATTAATTTAATTTGTGCCTAAGAACCGCTAAATCCTCCGAGATAAAAAGCATAATTAATAAATGGTAATCAATGACTAATAGAATGAAACTTATCCCTACAAGCTCCCCCACCCCTTTGAACAGATGAAGCATTATTTGCTTTTGTATGTGTGTGTGTTTTGTAAAGTGGGATTTAATGACAGGCACAGATGTTGTTGGAGACAATTGAAGAAAGGCCTTAAGTAGGTACTTAAAATAGATGGACATTATGATCACAACCAGACGGAGATGTAGCTTTCATGAAAAGTTAGTTGATTTCATATGCTTTCATGATTTTTTTATTTTTATTTTTTATTATTGATATGGGAGGCACAAGGACACAGGCAGCAACACTGCAATTATATTTCAATTTACTGCACACTCCACTGTGACAATTTTTTAAAAAATTAAAAAGGAAAAAAAAAAAACGGAGACAGTGAGATGTTGCTTGCATGCATCAACTTTGTTTTTTCTTTTTTCTTTTTTCTTTTTGTCTGGCTGATTACTTCACCAGCACTTTATATTTGTTCTTACACATGGAATTTTATTACACATTGTTGTAGCTTGCTTTAAGGAGGCAAAATGACAAACGCTTGAGTCACTTGATTATGACGATTAATCATGGGTCAAATATTTAAATTCCACCTATATATAATTGGATTTGATCTATCACAACATATATTTTGTATCCAACTAAAGATATTTTTTCAAGGAAAAAAAATCATCCCAATGGGTCATGCTCAAAATTTTAACTTCACGCATATATGTCGCACAAAGAAGTTTATCTCTTATTTCGTGTATAAAGAATTAGGTTTTGCCAAATTTAGTTCTAAATTTTGCCGATTATGAATTTAATGTCAAGGGTTACTCGGTTCTGAGAAAGAGAATTATTTAATGTTAAATATATTATTTTGGCAAATCATAAGGACAGTGAAGACAGTGCACAAAAAAATTATTTCTCAATGTGTTAACTAAACCATGCATAAAAAAAATATCATAGCGCTCTGTGTGCACGAAATTAAGATGGCAGTGCCAGCTAATTAATGATTCTTCTCCTTGTATATTGCTTTTTTCATGCTAATTAATTAAAAAGAAATGCACCGTTGAAGGACGCTTCATGGTATCATATCCACACACACACACACAACTAAAATATTATTATTGTGATGCAAATGAATACTTGACTAATAAGTTATTGTTGCCATTATTATATATACTTGGGGATCTTATTAGCATGGACATGTTAGTACTATATTTAATTATTACCATTAATTTCCATGATTTGGAAAAGGAAATTAAACTACATAATCTATTCAGGTATGGCCCTGTGCATTGATTAATTATATATATATATATAGGAGAACATTGAAAACCAATTTATTCAGGCAAGTATATATTTGAGAATTGAGAGAGGGTTAAAGTTAAATCATGAAGTATCTTTTTAAAAAGAGAGAACAATTAACAGAAGCAGTCAATGGAAAGATGAGTAGATGAGAAGTTGCAAGATTGATCCCACACAACCTCTCTTCCAACTTTTTTCATATTTCCTTTTCATTCTACCTCCATGATTGATAATATTCTAGCTACTTTAATTTAAACAATAAATTTGATGCAAATGCAAAGAAATATCTTCAGCATTAACTTCACTAGCATTTTTTTTAATCTATAATTATATTAATGTCAATTTCAAAATTAAATGACGAAGTTGATGCTAATTTTAGCGATCAAATTGGAACTTCAAGACATTGCTTAATTTGTGTTAAAATGAAAATAAAGTAAAGGAAAAAAAAATTAGTGAAAGAGGTGAATATATATGGAGGGAATATTATTAGTGGGAGAGAATTAGTATATCAGGGGGATCGTGTGTATTTGTGCTTTGTCCCACTTTTAAGGGCAAACCTTTTGCACCTTGACTTAGTGCATATAGTTTCTTTATATATCCTTTCCTCTCTTTTTCTCCATTTCAACTTAAAGCTAAAGTCCTTACTGTTATTGTTATTATTCATTATTCGTTCCACATATCTCTGAGTCTTTGATTTTATGCATTTTGAGTTTCTAGATCTTTCCACCATTTTTCTTTTTTTTTGCATGAAGCATCCGATATTTTAAGTTTGCCTCATGTTGAGTTGATAATTTAGATGATTTTAACGAGGCTTATACTAATTTGGATGAAACTAGGATGGGATTCTTCAAAATTATCAATATTATCACATTTCCAGAGCTCCAATTCAAGATTAAACCAGTACAAAAGAAAATTATCAATATTATCACATTTCCAGAGCATCAAAATATGTAATATAATATCCTTTTCTCTCTCTCTCTCTCTCTGTTTCTCTTTTCACGAGAATCTCTTTCATTTCACCACCACCTCCAGAATACAAGCACATACAACCAACCCTTTGAATATTTCAATCCTCTTTTTTCTTTCTCTGTCTATCCGTGTCAGAGAGTGAGAGAGAGACGTTGATAAATGATGAAGAATGAGGTTCTTTCTTCTTCTTCTTGTTGCTGCTGAACAGTGCCTTTCCTTTTTAGCTGTGTGACAGAGAGCTATCATTTTTTCTTTATTGGAAACATACCTTACTTCGTGTGCTTAGGATACTTCAAAACCCTACCTTTGTACATTACTTTTAAATATACACATTCCCAACCAAATAAACAATGATAAATAAATTTGACCGTTAGGTTTCAACAAGTGACTGCATGAAATATTGCATTCATTTGGTGGACCCTCAGGAATAAAGAAAGCCACGCACTGCATGATTCCTTTTTTCTCATAATAGTAATATTTCTATCGCATTACAGCATATATTTAATTTTACAGATATTCATATTTATAGCATTAGGTTGGACGAGCTTCAGTATCTTGATGACCTTTGTCTGTGAAATTTCAGCATCAGAGAGTTGCATCTCAATTATGGCGAAAGGGAAAGTGCAGGTTTTGGGAATTGTGAGCACTTAAATGTGGTCAATGCGAAATTTTGATAATAAATAAATATCTCTCCCGTGAAAAATACATTTACTCCCCTTTTCGTGCCAGTCTGGAGAACTGAACATACCTGCTCATCCCTCTATATAAAATATTTTTAATTAAATTATATAAATTATAATCATCTAATTAAACATATAATAATATTTTAATTTTATCTTAATTATTATAAATGAAAATAAATTTTTTAAAGTAAATTAATGAGAGTATTTTTTTCTCTTTCCAATTTAATAAAAATATAATGATCTATTCATTAAAAAAAATACTAACAACTCCTTATATTTAGGAAAAAAAAATTTTAAAAGACTTCTTATGCATAGGAACAGAAGAAGTATAGTAATACTATTATATTCCCTCTCTCTCTCTCTCTCTATATATATATATATATATTAGTTGTGTGCACAATCTTAAATAATTCTACATGTACTTCCTCCATTTACAAATATAAAACATTTTTAATCGAATCTCATCATTTAATAAAATAGTTACTTACTTTTAAACTAACTCTATTATAAAATTATTCATCAATAGGGACAAATTTAAAAAAAGATAATAATTACATCTTAAAAAATTTAAAATACTTTATATTTTTAAACAACTCCTCAAAAAATGCATTACATTTTTTAATAGAGAGAATATCAAATATTTCCTTTGTCTCAAATTATAAAATATTTTTAGACAAATTTTACATATCAATAAACCTTATTAAATGCACTTAACAACCTTATTTTTAAAATAAAATATAAACTTTCAAAAATATCATTTAATAATCTTAAATCTATACTTGATTTATTAAATAGATAGAGAAAAAGAAAATATTAAAATAAACATATTTAATAAAACCTTAATATTTTTAATGTATTTTATATTTTGAAACGGAAAATTTTTTTAAAAATATCTTAATATGGAAGAAGTATTTTAAAAAATTTAAAAATTTTAAGTATAATAAAAATTAACTTATTTTTTTTAGTTGACCTACTCTTTTTGATAATTAACATCCATACTTTTTCATGAATAATTACTCAACATAGGTAAAAATAAAAAGGTAATTTTAAAACTATAAAACGTTTTACATTTTGAGCCAACAATAATTTGCTAAAAAAGATCTTGCATTATTGATTGGAAAAGGTTTATATATGTATATATTATATAAAACTAGAAAAACTACACACACACTTTGTAGTTTCTTGAAGTAATCAGGTTAAGTGGAAGTTACCACATATCTGACCTTAAAAAAAAAAAAAGAAGGGAAACTGATAATTAAGTTTTAAAAGAGCATATTAATGACAGTTAAATTTTATATATATATATATATATATATATTTTAAGTTACAAGTATCAGTTCAAATAATTTTAAATTTAATAGTTTTAATTATAAATAATATATTTAAATTCTAAATATAACTATGAGTTTGTGATCAATATTCTCAATTGTAACTATATGTAAATCAATATTTATAATTTATTTTAAAATTTTTTAAATAAAAACTTAACTGTCATTAAGCCTTTCTTCAGACATTTCATTATTATTCTCCATTAAAAAAATATGTAAATGCAATATGGAAGATGTTTTGAAGTTTCTAGAAGTAATCATATGTTTAGTCGTTACATTTGTGAGGGCTTTTCAAATTATACCTCATGTCCGAGGTTAAAAAAAAAGTGTGCATATAATAGATCAATAATATGCAATAATATATCTTTATCTTCTATATGGATAAAATTGAATGACAACAAAGACATTAATCTTCTTCGACAAATTTAACATATTTCCATTCCATGCGCATTAACATGTTTATTCTTCCCACACTTGGAAATGTTCTTTAATTAATGAATATTATAAACTCTAAACTATTATATAAATAGCATTTTAAATTTTAAACTCTTAAAATCTATAAAAATTCTTTTTAATTTTTAAATTTTGAACACCTAAAAATCCGGAGTCAATGATTATTATTTTTTTGCTGCTTAAATGTCTATTTATTATTTATTGATGAGAAGACCACTTATATGTTATATATATATATATATATATATATTCAATCAAGGCAACAAAAGAGACTGCCATCTTTTTTAAAACTAATTAATTTATTTTCTGAAAATTTATGTGATTTTTTTAAAAATGCATTCCCATTAAAATATGCATACAACTGAAACTAATAATAAAAGGAAGATGCTCACTAGATTGTCAAATTTTTAGGTGAATGCATATAATTTATCAAAAAATAACTAGATAAATATAGAAAATACACTGACGGATTTTTCAGTCAACTCACACTACATACGTTAATGTGTCAATTTATGATTAGAATGTGACAATTAAGTCCCAAATTATTGAATTAATAACAGTTAAGTTCACAATATTTTTTTTAAAAGTTAAAAATATCAATCTAAATAATTTAAATTCAAGAGTTTTATTGTAAATAATTATTTAAGTTTCAGCTGTAAATTTTAAATTTTAACAAGAATTTTTATTTGTAATAGTTTTAATTGATATTTACAATTTATTTTTTTTAAAAAATTGTTAGTGACCTCACTGTCATTAATTCAATTTTTTGAGAATTAACTATTATTCTCCCTTTACTATTATCATAACTAATTCCTTTGTTTGACTAAAAAATTTCTCCATTTACTAAATTTAAGATTTTCGGTTTACAGTGGGATGTTGGCAGTTTATAGGATCAGATAACAGGTTAAAAGAACTTGTTAATTACCTTCGATGGGTTTAGGCTTACAGTTACTTTGTTTTTTTAATGTTCCTACAGGCCGAGGCCCAAATTACAGTTTGGGTTTTGTTTTGGCCCATTCATACAACACAATGTCATTATGATGACATTTTTTTTTATGAGTTGGGTGTCTTAGTGAAAAATATAATGATATAATTATTAATAATGTACTTCCATTATGATGGAAAGTTGGATACCATTACATTACATATTTAATTCTTAATCATAATCTGAATTAGAGAAAGCAGTAAAAACCGATTGATTACTAATGGAAACAGGACCAATATAATTCTAGGATGCATTATAATGCTACTCTTTTTATTAAAAAATGAAAAGTATTTTTACTTAAATTTTACCTCCAATAATGTAATTACTTATTTTAAAACTAACACAATCTTTTTATTTTTATCCTTCTTTAATAAGGTGTTTTACTTTAAAATAAATATAAAGTGATTTATTTATTAGGAGTACTTTTGGAAAAAAAATTGTAGTGATTATCCTTTTTAATATTAAAAATGTCTCATATTTTTGAATAAAGGGTGTGTGTGTGTGTGAGAGATAGAGAGATTATATATATACAATACCGTATGATTTAATGACGATGTAAGTATAATGTTTTCTAATTATATGAGCGTCACAATTACTTTGCGAAGTTAAAAAAAACAGTTTTTTTGGTTGAAAGCCATTAATTTGTCAAAAGCTAAAACCATTTTGTCAATAACACCATTTGATGTAGTTGAAATTAAAAGCCCCTTGTTTCTTTTCATAATGTGGCGGGAACACCATTAAATGGAAAGTATTCCTGTAAAATAATAATAATAATTATAGGAAATAACGGGAAAATAGTTGAGGTTATAAAATCGGTCCTATAATTGGACTAGAGCTAGCGAGTAGATATATATTACCTAAAACATTAACAGAATAAGAAGTATCCAAATGAAGAAAAGGCCTACGCCGATTGGTTGGTTGATTGTCTGTTTTATAATTGAAAGGAACTGGAGGAAGTATGTAGGATTAGGATATACCATGTCTCAAAACCAGAAGCCTCACGGAATGTCCACAGAGAACAAGCCAGAAATGAAAGCCACGATGGCGTATGGTTCTTTAAATGTTTTCACATCAATATTCAACCACTACACTTGATTGTATTTGGTTTAGAGTTTTATCTGTTTCAGAATTTTTAAACATTGAGTACAAAGGATTTCAAATTCTTATCACTTGCAGAATTAGAATAATGAAAATTTTCTACCTGCTACACCATAGAACCAGGATTCAGTGAAATTTGACATACATATACCATGTTCTCGGCCAAACATGTCGTGAATTTTGATAAAACAAATCAAACACAAATATATCAATCATATTTCTTGAGCAAACAAATCCTATGATTCCACTGAGAGATGCTTGAAAGTAGCTCATTGCTTTACCAAACACCACCTAAATCAGTGATGGTTTTTGACCCTGTTGTGTACACACACGTTTGATTAGATCAGGTTCACATATTTGATCTTTTTCTGTTGTTTCCTTCTCCACCGCAACCTCAAATTCGCTTTGCAACCTCAAATTCTTCGCCCAATATCCGTGTGGGACCTTTCATTGAAATTAACTACGAAGATATTGCAAGCTAAGCAATTCTTCACCTCTTCGTTTTCATCTCCATTAAGTACTATATATATAATTACCCCTCTCTCTTCTCTTTCTTGGTCCACTGCATAACTGCTAACAGATACTATGAGTCAACACAATCAAGTTTCAGGTTCTTGCAAAGTTATCATTCAGCTTAATTAGTTTCTTCCTGTATACACACTTTATTTGATATCATGAATTATTGTTATTATTATGCAGATAGAATTGTTTTGTTGAGATAGAGCGATTAATTATATAGATGTAAGATTGACACATAATGACACTGTGCGTGCGTGCAGAGGCTTGTCCTCCATCAATACCAGTGATGGCTTATCCTCCACCGGGTCAGGCTTATCCCCAGCACCAAACAGGTCCTTATGAAGCACCAGCACCACCAGTTGGATATCCCACCATGAAAGGTGATCAAGATTATTCATCACAGATCGCAGAGACCAAAAGTAGGGGTGAAGGTTTCTGGAAAGGATGGTGAGATTCTCTCTCTTCGCCCTCTCAAAAGATCTATCCCTCTATATAACAGAGAATTAATCCGACTTGTTGTAGACTATATATATAGATAGATAGATATATAAACTGGTGTGTTTTGTTTGATCATTTACGTTGTTTTGCTGTGTAGTGTTGCTGCGCTATGCTGCTGCTGGGTACTGGAATTTTGCTGTGGATGTTAATTAATATTATTGAGAGTTCATGGCTATATATTAGCTTATGTGAAAGCATGATAAACTTTTTTCCTTTTTCATTTTAATTGCTGTATGCTTGTATGGGAGTTAATTAAGAGATTAAAGTAGAACGAAATAACGTTTTCTCATAAACTACAATCTGTTTGGTTAAATGTGGATGTCTTCTCTTTGAGAGAGACATCTTGAATATGCATGACTCGCTGTTGTTATTATGAATCAATAATCAATAAGCATGTTAATCATATTGGAAGAAGTAGTGTGCTTCGATTTTATTCAGGTCATCAGTAGAACCTGATTTTAGTTAATTATTGCATGATGTTTGATTCCGGAATCAACAAATTAAAGTCTATATACTTGAAATACCAAACTTAAAGGAGAGTAACTTTTATCAGACTAAATAAATTATTAATTCACTTTAATTATATATAAAATATGGTGATTATGTGCTAAATTCTTAACAATTAGACTAACTTTTTTATTATCTTATATTTCTAACCTTTTGGGTTTTATATCATTCTATTTTGTACTCGTTTGGGTAATTAATCAAGTTTCAATGCAAATTTGGTTTAGTTTAATATGAATACGCCCAGTTATTATCCTAATTAACATGACATTTTATTTATAGATAAACGTATGAAAGGGTTTAGACATGTAGTTTAGTTCTGGCATCACTATCTCATCTACCATAAAAGTCTGGCTTCACAGATTCCCTTTGATTATTGATAGTCATTGTTTGCTTGATTGTGTAGAAATGTCAAAGCACATGCGCTAATTTTAATAGTTGTGATAAGAGAATAAAGCTTGTGTGGTGAACTTTGATAGCAATTGTCAGGATGAGAAATTTGAGAGGTTTTCAGACCCAATGGTGAATTTTGGGGCGAGGAATTTGTATCTTTTTCTAATCCTTGAATCTAATTAAGTGATTACAAGTCTGTTTCAGTAATGAAATGAAGCACTTGAGAAGGCTCCACTTTATAGCTTAAGTGGAGCACTTGATCAATAGTTGCATATAAAGAGACAAATGTTCACCGAAAAGATTGAGATTCCAAGTCTTTTCAAGTGCTCCCACTTCATGGAGATCATCTAGCTTACACTTATTTGTCTCTTCATATATAACTTGATGTCAAGTATTATTCTTGCTGAATAAGGTTTGCTGAGAAGTTTGTGTGATTATGGACAGATATACTTAGCCATCCAATGTAGGATCATGATCAATAGTGGTAATAATATAAAGAGAGTTTGTGTGGTGAACGTTGTTAGCAACTGTCAGGGTCATGAAGTGAGAGGTTAAGTCCAATATATATAGTCGTCTATTTCGGGGAAGCAATCTTATTATTATTAGTTTTTAAATAACTTTTCAGACTAGCTAACCGACGTTAAAGATATGAAGTGGAGCTTTCTATTTTATTGCCTTTCTTCCTAGCTACAGAATTTGGTCAGGGGATAATCCTTAAATAAGCCATTTTTCAAGCCTTTGCTGATATGGGGGTTTCTTATTTTCAGTATTATTACATGTTATTTTTTTTTATGAAGGCTATCATATTCCAAGTATTTTTCTTTGTATTTTTACATTAATCGATAAGGTCTTTTATATAGATATTTCATATTCCTTTATTTGTTCCCCGTCACGCTACGTGAAGCTAGGCATTTCATGGGCTGTTCTGTAACACTAAAATTTTTGTTTTATGATTGATTCAAAAAGATAAGCGTTTATGAAAACTTGTGAAAATTGGAAATTATTTTAGTCAAATTAAGTGGACAACTCCTCCAAAATTAATTTTCATCGTTTGAATTACTCCTAAAGGCTAAAGTCGAGTCTCTGGATCAAAAAGTTATGCGTGATCGACCATTCCTGACCATGTCCGATATATTATTATAGGAGTTTGGACAAACGATTATCATCAACCTTTTCTCAACAAATAAGACAATTTGTGTTTCTCACCAACTTGACTTGAGTCTCCTTGCAGTTTCATTATTCAGGTAGAATTTTTTTTTAAAAAAATCACTTTACAGCCTTTATAAATAGATGAACAATACGCAATTGACTATTTTTGGGGGAAGAAGAAGGTCCTTAATAAAAATCTTATATAGCATAAACAAATAGATATTTAAACTTTTTTTAATTGCAATATATATTACCACTTAAATCTTAATAACAGTAATAAACCATGAATCAAATATTTATCGGAATACTGTATTCAATTTATTTATTTATAAACCATAAACAGTATTTTCTTTCTTTAAACTTTGTGTAGTATACGCAAAAGTGTGTCCATGTAGAGTTATGCTTGTAACTAATATGAATTCCAGTGTGCTCTAACTAGCTTGATAATATATTGAAAAGGGCGAAATATAACCCGAAGTTAGATGTTAAATTTTGAAGAGAATTATGATGTCAAATAATTGGATGATTGTCCACGCAAAAGCTTCTTCTAATGCGCTTCTAAGTATAGCAGCTTGCTTAATTTACGTTTTCATTTGGAATTTTTTGACAGATACTTCTCATTCACGCAATTTGAAGTTTCTAAGCCTTTCTCGGAAATTCTTGGAGGGTAGCCTTCCAGAATCTATTATGTCTCTTACTTCCCTCACCTTCTCATCATTAAGCCACGATAACATGAATGGTTCACTGCGTAAACAAGGTACGTATCATATTTATAAATTGACTATTCCACCACTAAAATTGGATTCATTGATAAAAAATTTCTTCACAATCTATCACATTTTTTCATGAATATTTTAGTTTTAAATGTGGACGGCAATAAAGATTAAAAAAAAATAGAGCTGTATTGGCACATTAAGTATAGGCTTCACTCTCATGCGAAGGCTAAATAAGAATAGGGTCAAACTGAAAATTTCATTTTCCTTGTTTATCCCTCTTTATTTATCTTTTAGAACATAATTATCCTACATTCAAATAAATGTTCCTACTAGTTCATATACTTCCTCCGATCCTATTTATAGGACATTTTTTTAAAAATAATTTTTTTAAAATGTAGAATATTTTGTAATAATTAAATTATTTTTTTAATTTTACCTCTCTTTGATTAACGTAAAGGTTTTTAATTTACACTTAAGGTAAAAATAAGAGTATACTTTATTTTTTTTTATGATATAAAAAAATTAAATTTTTTTAATATATATAAAATAGTTGAAAATGTCCTACGATAAAGATCGGAAGGAATATGTACTTCGGCTTATGCTCAGCCTTTTCCTTAGGCCCAACTATAAATTCAAATTCATTTGTTAAAGCAAAATAAACCCGCAAATCAATTTTGCCCATGGAATGTTACTAAGCTATATGGGCTAATCTCAAAATCGAAACCTTTAATAAGCTATATCTTCAAGTTTTATAATTTTTTATAGAAAGATTTATTAAAAAAGTTTAATTTTATATATTACAGGAGGCTTGTGCGATTTGAAGAATCTTGAAGAACTGGATCTTGCCTCCAACAATTTTTGAGGGGCAACTTCCTATGTGCCTTGGCAATTTGATGTCTATATGTTTACTTTAACTTTACTATAATGGTTTTGAAGGAAACGTTTCCTTCCTGGCTCCTTCATGCTTTGATATCCCTAGTCACAATTGCTCTCTCTGACAACAATTTCAGTGGCTCATTCTCACTCTCTTCACTTGCCAACCACTCCAACCTTCAAATCTTTTTGATGCATTGCTCTAATGCCAATGTCAAGCTTGAAACTGAGAATCCCTCATCTGTTCCTTACTTCCATTTGAGTTTTTTCTCCATCTCCAGCTGCACTATTAATGAAGGAAACATAACAAAATGCCTACCTTTCTTTTTCATCAATTTGACTTGCTAGTTCTAAGACTTAGACACTTGAACATTTCAGGAGTTTTCCCATCCTAGCTTTTGACAAATAATAGAAAATTAAATGTTTTTGATGCAAGAAACAACTCGTTGACTAGTCCATTTCAACTCAATTCCACCTCAAAAAACTGCTTTGAATGCAACTTTTCAATGTTTCCTTTAATCCCATTAAATTAAACATGAAGTGCCTTCTAACATTAGCTCTATTTTTCCCAACTTGATTTCTTTGGACATGTCTTTGTGTTCATAGCGAGGTGGTTTTCTATCTTTGATGGGTGAAATGATACAATTCAATAATCTTGACTTGTCAGATAATAATTTATCAAGTTACTTGTCCCAAGAATTAGGTTGTGGAGGCTCTGAGTTGAGGTTTATGAAGTTATCGAACAATAACTTGAGTGGCCTTTGTTTACTTGTAGGATCATCAACTTTCAGATATTAGTTGTTCATGGGTCTTGATAAAAATAACTTCAAAGGAAACGTTCCAATTACGTCACTGATAGGGGACATGGAAGCAAAACCGTGCTAGTTAGAAATGGAATCCTGAAACATAAATAAACACAAAGTCGAAATAATGATAAAAACAAGATAGAGATCAAGGAGAATATCTTTTAGAGCACCTCTCTTTAGTAATTTTAATCTTCGAAGATACCATAAGAATTGATTAAGTTCTTGATCACGTCTATATTCAACATAGGATGCCACCACAAGCACTAAACTCACAAGAGTTATAAACTATAGAAATAATAACACTCTTGTTAGTCAAATCAGACTTACTATATAATGAAGAGGTGCATGCCTATATATAAGCTTACTTAAGACTCCAAAATTCTAATCCAAAAATCCTAGTTTGGATGAAGATAATAATAAAATAATAAAATTTAGCCACATAATCTAGGGATTGTATTCCCTAAAATCAGGGGATTCCATTATTAAATAAAATCCTAATCTATAAACAGGAAACAAAACTTACATAAAATATTATACTAATATTTAAATTATTAAGCTAATCAAGTTAGAGAAATCAAGGGATATGTTATCATCCATACAATGATCCATGTGAAAGTGAGGTTAGGGTAGTGAAAGTGTTGGGTTAGGAAGTTTAATTTGTATAAATGACGATTTTAATGGTTATAGGTATGATTAATTATAAATTAATCATTTCATGTACCATTATGGCTTGAGAGTTAATTCAGTCACAGAGATATGCAATTTCTTGAGATTAGTTAGGTATTACTAACTGTTTATCTTGGGGTTTTCTCACATTGCTTCTCTTTTGACTAAGTTGACATAGAAAGATCAATCTTTTATATGAGATGACAAGTGTGAGATTGCATTTCAAAAGTTGAAAGAAAAGTTAACTAAAGCGCTTGTATTGGTTATCCCTAATCCGCAATTACCTTACAAGGTTT